CAACCGCACATGCCTACGCATGGGAAAACGAGCCGCGAGCACCAACGCTCCAACTTCTAGTAAGTAAATACGTCTGCATAACCGCGGCGACCATGGGCCCCAGTGACCCAAACTTGACACACCATCATACAAGCCGGTGCTAGCGAGTGATTTGACACTCATATCAAGTACTTGGCCTGGTTCACACCCCTTCAGTAGGTGTAGGTGGTTGTAATTCATTTACTACCAACCCTACCATCTCTAGAGTCAGGGGGTATTTAGGAGGGTCACCAGTATGATCCTAAAACCTTTAACACATGGTGTCATGTAAATCTCCCGAGTACCCGGACGAGCTCAAAGTACCTTATTTTGGTGGATGTGTTCCTCTTTGTGGGAAACCGGAATACTAGTTGGCCAAGGGCTCTAACAAAAGTACGATCTCCCAAAATCTAGAAAAAGAGTTTTATGACGTGCCCATGATGGTCAGGCTTGTTCCTGCCGCCCCTATTCACTAGGACATGGATGCTCACTCGTTCTACCCTCTATCAGCTCGAAGAGTAACATACACCACTCCTGACAGCGGCTCATGCGTTCGTTATTCGCCCACAGTGGTTCCCGGCCTAGGACATTGCTATGTTGGCCTCCGAGCTCCAAGACAGTGACCTTGCTTTTCCCACTAAGATGCCCACGAAAATTCGAGGCCACGCTGCTTAGCGGGTCTCGAAGAAAAATGTGAAGCACTTGGTGTTTGATAAATAGTGACCTGAATCAGGTCACCCTGAAAATTAATTGGTGTAGTGATGCATAAAAATGGAAGCAGTACAAACTACCGTGTCCTGTTGATCCGCTCTTTAAGTAGGACTCAATTACATGCAACCACTACGGAACGCCAGAACACATCGGGAGCCAAGTTCTCGATTGAAGCGGTGTCACCACCAAAATAAGGTGTTAACAACGTCTTGGGAGTTACACTTCCGGTAAAGCAATGTCACCACCCAAATAAGGCGTTAACAATGTCCTGGGAGCCACGCTTCTAGTTAAGCATTGCCACCACCCAATTGTGGCATTTATAATGCCTTGGAAGCCACGCTGCCAGACGTGCGGTGTTACCACTCAAACATAGCGTTGACAACGCCCCGAGGGCCACGCCCAGGGAACCAAGTTCACCGATAAATGGTGCTACCACCATACTCCTCGGCATCCGAGCAAATCCATACTAGTTTTCAATACTTGAAAATATTAGGCTGCGCTATTCAATATCTCGATACCCGAGGAAAAAGCTCACAAGTATTCACAATACTTGAAACTTATAGGGGTTTGCGACAACCCAAGGGCTAAAGCTACCAGCTAGCTTGGCATTAAGTCCTACGGGGGCTACTGTCGGATATATGGGCCAGGGGTACCCGCACTGCCCATATATGCGACCATGTCCAAGCTATCGGGCCAGGTGCCATCAATGAGAAGGCCTATGGGGGCCAAGGAAGTTGATCAACGTGAAGACCAAGGCACACCGAAAGGATCCAAGATAGGCATATCTGGACAATAGCTAGGATCAATCGGTTGCGCATTCCACATAACAAACTAGGAATCCAATATGTAAACCCGATCGCCCTCATTGTAACCCTACCCACTCTGCCTATATAAAGGAGGGTAGGGGCCTCGCGCTTGGGATCCAACTCATCTCATTCCAATCTACTATGTAGCTAGGAGCAACAGCCCCTATAACCGAGCATACGAATACAAGAAGAAGAAGTAGCAGCACTGGACTAGGATTTTACGCGCACCGCGGCCTGAACAAGTATAAATCCTTGTGTCTCATGTGTTACCATGTGATTCTATCTACGTGATCATGTTGCTAGGCATTGCCGGAGCTAATTCATCCAACACAAGCGCATGGCTCTCAAGGTAGCTTTCACCCGAGAGTATTCTAGGGTATTGATTTCCATAGGGAACGTGAAGTGGACTTAACAAAGAACTAAGTTTGTCCTATGATGACACAATGGTATAAGATAGATTGGGTAAGGAGAATTCCTATGGTTGTGAAACTAGATTGGTAAGGTATATACAAAGGTTGTTCGCTTTGGGTCACTAAGCCATTTAGCAATAGAAAGGGATGAGAAGGGTGCTAAACCACCTAGCACAATGTTGGTATTTGTTAACACAAACAGAGAGATCCGCAAGTGCACGGATACCATTGTAGCTTTCACCCAGGAGTATTCCAGGGTACATATTTATCCTCAGGGAAGCAATGGTTAAAGAACTTGATAGTTGACCATCATGTATCCACTAACTAGTATACCGTCTAGACTAATGTGGGGGTAAGTGATAAAGATAGGAGTTTTGTATAAACAACACACACAGGAGGACTCCAAAGTAAGATAAAAGAGTAGATAGGCTAAGCTGGGAGGACAACGGCTGAGTTCAAGGTTCCTATACACTTCTCTATTACTATGGTTCTATTCTAGTTCATACCAGAGAAGATAACTAAGCAAAGGTCAGACATAGTGATCACACCAAGAACACTTTGTAGCAGTAGTACCTTTCCGACCCTCGAGGGGGTGAGAAAGCGTGGTCAGGGGAAGGCTGCCAAAAGCTCTACGAAACACCAACCCGAATGTGGTGGATTACAAAGGCCTGGTTAGAGCTGTCACCTCTGGGGCTACCACAACTATCCGTGGGTTTGGGCGCAAACTCAGGTAACCTATAGTCTAGACACCACGTCTATACTATCGGTTACTACTCTAGCCACATATGATAACTAGAGCACTCGATCGAGCAGAGTTCTGATGCCAAGGTGTAAAACCACAATACTAACCACACAAAGTGTAACTTGATAACCATGAAGGACATTCCTGTAATTAGAGAAGGTAAATATATTGATACTCCAGTCTTACAAAGAAATGATATAAGAATGTACCAAACCTCCGAGGACTTCTCCAAAACTTGAGCATCTCTCCTTCACTCCCAACTAATCCTATACTACTTTTACATCTTGGCAAATAGAGTAAGGAAAACCCTTGTGGTGTGTGTGAGAGGAGGTGTCTCCACCACCTTTTGTAGCCTCCAAAGGACGGTTGCGGAGGGAATATTCAGGGCATTCATGAGAGGGCCCATGTGTAGGCGCACTAGAGGCGGTGGAGCTGGGGGTGCGGCCGCACCTTGGGTGAGGCTGCCCCCTGGTCGAGCCACCCCATGACCACCTTGCTCTGGTGGGTCACCTGTTGGTCTTGGGCCACGCCTATGTGAGTTTGGGGCCTAGTTGTATCAGGTAGGTGGACCTTTTCCCTCTTTTGCTTTGCGCAGGATGGCGTTACGCTTTGTCCCTTTGCGCATTTTGAATGTGTTTTTCTTGATAATCAAACATGTGTCCTTCAAAACATATAAACACCAAAACTTGTGGAATTCGTTAGTTATAAATTCTATACTAAGTTCGGTGTTTTGAAAAAATAGATTTTATGCGGGATTTTGGAGGTTAAATTATGCCTAGCCTCTTAGCATTGGGCACGTGGCCCAGCCGGGGCGAACCGCGCGCTCCCGCTTGGTCGTGCTCGCGCAGGCGCGGACGCCTCCAGGCCCAATTTTTTACAATTTAGCCCTTTTTTGAAAGTTTCTCACAAATGAACCCCTAGAGGAAAGATTTTAGAATATGGACCCTTAGCTCGGTGCATTGATGCTGGCACCAAGCTAACATGTCTTGGCGCCAGCATCCCTGGCGCCGAGCTCCTGGGCTCGACGCGAATGTGGAAGGTGACATGGTAGGGAGCTCGGCGCCAGAGTGACTGGCACCGATCTCGGTGCTGTAGATCTTGGCGTTGGGCTCGGCGCCATAGATCTTGGCGCCGAGCTCAGCGCTAGAGTGACTAGCGCTGAGCTCCCTGCCATTTAACCCTGGCCCAACCTTCCTGCCCGAGCGTTCTTCCTCTTCTTTCTCCTCCCTCTCGGGTTTTTTCTCTCCCCACTTCACTCTACCTCATGAATCGGCATATTGGACCATGGAAACTTTGATTTGATCCATAGATCTTTGAGAGCAAGGTATCCTCGCTCCCCTCCTAGTTTTTTTCGCATCGATTCGGTATATATTAGTCGGATTTTTCAACATAATAATCGTCATCACTTAGGGTTTCATTCTATCCCTCAATATATGTATTATACAATCGTAGGATGATGCCAAGGCGTGGAAAAGCTAGCAAACCTAGGCGCATGTAGTTATGTTATGGGTTTATTGTTGTGCATCAAATGGGAAACCCTAGGTTTAGGGTTTAATGTTAACTGCTTTCAGTTCTTAGAACGAAATTGGTTGTATTGTAGTTATGGTTCTCATTGACATTTATTTGTGATGTTTTGATTTATGTTTGTTAAATTACATCTGTTTTGTTGGATGCAAGAAATGTTTTAGGAGGAGTTTTGGCGAAAACGGGGTTGTCCTTGAGAATTATATCCCGACGCATCTAGCAAAGATGCCCCCGTCCCTCTTGACCTCCCTGTCCCTAACTGTGACTGTGGTTTGCTGGCCCATGTTTTTCAATCAAAACATCCGAACACAGCGGCGCAGTGCTTCTACACATGTAGTCGTTTTAATGTAAGAAATTGTTTCCACTATCTTTTTTCTTTATTTGTGTAAGTATGCTACTAATATTTTGTTGGAATCTCATTGTGTAGGACCATGATAGGTGCTTTTTCTTTCAGTGGATCGATGGTGCAGACAAGTTTGATACTAGGTACCTCCTTTTCGACGATTGGTTTAGAGGGAGACATCCACGTGAGCACTTCAAGCGGTGGGTTCCACCCCCCCTAACCCTCCGCCAATGATGGATAAGGAGAAGCACCTAGCCGCAGTTAGATGACTCGAGGAACCTCCTCTGTGCGATTGTGGAGATCGAGCTGTGATAAACCCAGAGAATACGTTGGAGTTTGTGTATCCAAACCAGTGTTCGCCTACACGGCCGTGTAGGCCGATTACTCGCCGTGTACACGTTACTCAGCAGCTTTGCGTGCAGTTTAGGCCATAAACGATATGGTACATGGTCAGTCCGTGTAAACGGTCAAAAACGGTCCTACACGGACTGCACGGGCGACACGGTTCGGAGCTAACACGGTTCTACGCGGCGAGTGAAGCGAGTAGGAGGACGTTTAGGCGATTGGAGACATTTTGGTAGCAGAACGAAAATTTTAGACCTCGTCTCGCGTGCATCGGCCCAGTCAATTGTGATGACTATAAAAGCCAACCTGTTAGGGTTTGGCCTTTCTATCCCCAAAACATTTCACAGCCGCCGCAATTTCCAAATCCCCTGCACGGCTGCACACACACCGTCCGCCGCAGCTGCTGCGCCCGTCGCTCCTTCGGCCGTCGCCGCCGCTCCGGCTGCTGCCCCTGTTGCTGCATTGCAAGTCTTCCTCCACCCCATTCTCCATCCAGGTCGAGCTCCTCTCTGCCTCTGCTGTCTACTCCAGGTTGAGCTCGTCTGCATCTCCGGCACAAACAAGTTAAGTGCTCCATGTACTCTCTTTGATTTATGCTCCAGAATGTACATACTGCACAGTGCATAGTAGACTACTAGTACTAGAGCTCCCTTCTCCTCTCCAAAAATCAATTGATATATCATATATGCTCCGGCGTGTGTAGATGCAGACTAGTACTAATGTTCCATTCTTTTCTATAGAAATCAACTCATATATGCTGTGATCTAGCATGTGCGTACTAGTAGGCTGGTGTTGTTTTGTTCTCCAGAAATAAATACTGTGTGCTCTTGTAAAGAATAGAGATTTTTGTTTAGAAAAAAAGTTTAAAGAATAGAGAAAGGGATTGCAAGAATTGCTTTGTATGCTACAGTTCCAGATGCATTTGTTAAATTAAATCACTTAATTATGTTAGCTGTGGCCATGTTATTATTTTATTATGCACTTAGGCTATTAGATCTGGCATTTAGGTTCCTAATTCTGAAAGTTTGAAATATGAATATAGCAAGTAGGCAGTTAGATGCTTCTTGTCACCTATTGTTCAGTGGCAATGGCTCTATTCTGTACTTTACAGTTTACATGAATGTTCTTGTGCCCTGTGCTGTACAGTGTACACCTGTACTAATAATTTATAATTTGTGCTATGCTATTTTCAGGATGTCTTCAGCTGCATCTGTTCCTTCCATAAACCCAGCAGTAGCCTCAAGAGGAACTCAGGTGACATTGGGTGGGACTATGGAGTCCTGGTGGACCCTAACAACCTGAATGTGATCAAGTGCAAGTTCTGTGATCTTGTTGTGAGGGCGGGGATATATAGGTTGAAGCAACATGTCGGTGGGATTCGTGGTGAGGTTAGACCTTGCCTCAAGGCATCGCCTGAGGCCATAGACAAGTGCAAGAAAGCTGTTGATGACTCGAAACAAGCTAAGAAGGCAAGGCAGGAGGAGAAGCAAGATGTCAGGGATGTTGTGATCCTTGATGATGGTCCAGATGTTGAAGATACCACCATCAATGGAGAAGGGCTTGATGATGTTGGAGACTCGACACAACGCAAGTTGGGGCCTATGGATAAGTTTACATTGCCTATGGATTCTAGCTCATTGAGCAACACAAAACTGGTGAGGCAACAAAGAATCACTGAAGCATTATGGAAAGAGAGAATGCATGCCTTGAAGAGATATATTGCAAGATGGGTGTATGTGCATGGTAATAAACTGGTCCATTGCTCCATTACTGAAATAAATGTTGTAAATTTCTGGAGTCCTAACCTTGCTGAATTATTTGTTTCTAATGTCTAACCTTGAATTCTTGTAAATTTTAGGAATACCTTTCCATGCCATCAACAATGAAGAGTTTGACCAATTGCTAGAAGCTGCTGGACGCTTTGGCCCTGGTGGACAGAAACCAAATCAGCATGAGCTGCGGGAGAAATTATTGTATGAGGAAGTGGAGGACACAAAGAAATTGCTGAAGCTACAAGAGCAAGAATGGGCCAAAAATGGGTGCTCCATTATGACTGATGCATGGACAGATCAGAAGAGGAGAAGCATAATGAATATGTGTGTCAATTGCAGCATTGGTACAACTTTTTTGGAATCAAAGGAGGCCTCAGCTGAGTCCCGTACTGGAGAATTCATCTTTCAGTATGTGGACAGTTGTATTGAGAAAATAGGTGCTGAAAAGGTGGTGCAAGTAGTCACAGATAATGCCTCCAACAACATGGCAGCGAAAGCCCTATTGTCTGTGAAGAGGCCCAATATATTTTGGAGCTCATGTGCAACACATACTCTCAATTTGATGCTTGAAGGCATTGGGAAACTAAAAAGATTCAAGACCATCATTGATCAAGCAAAGGCACTGACCATCTTTATCTATGCACACCATAAAACATTGGCTTTGATGAGGAAATTCACAAAAAAGAGAGACATCATTAGGCCTGGTGTGACCAGATTTGCTTCCTCTTTTCTCACCTTACAAAGCTTGTATGAGAAGAAGAATGAGCTAAGGGCAATGTCTCAAAGTGAGGAATGGGAGACAATCAGTCATGTCAAGAAGACCCCAAAAGGTGTGTAGGCCACAACCACTTTGGTGAAACCTAATTTTTGGGCTGGTGTTGCTCTTTGTTTGAGAGTATTTGAGCCATTGGTCAAAGTACTTCGCATGGTTGATGGGGATGTGAAGCCATCAATGGCTTTTCTTTATGGAGACATTCTTAAGGCTAAGAAAGAGATCATGGTGGGCTTAGGGAATATTGACAAGGCTGGGACTCTCAATCTATACAACAATATCATAGAAATCATTGATGAGAAGATGAAGGGCAGATTGGATAGTCCTTTGCACTTAGTTGCATACTTCTTGAATCCCTATTATAGCTACAATGATTCTTCCATCTTTGGAGAAGAGGAAGTCATGGATGGGTTCTTTACAGCTGTTGAAACTTTTTATCATGGTGATTATGACAAGCAAAATCAAGTCCTCAATGAAGATCTGCACAAGTTCAAATATCAAACCGGCCACTTTGCAAAACCTGCAGCAATGGCTGGCTGTAAGGATTATAATTTCTTCCCAGGTATGCAAGTTTGTAGTTTATTTTAGATCTGAAATGTTGTATCTAAATTTTTGGTTGCATGTTTAACACTGTAACAGTTATACTTGATTACTTGTGCAGCCAAGTGGTGGGGAAATTATGAAACACAAGTTCCAACTCTACAAAAGATGGCTATAAGGATTCTCTCTTTGACTTCAAGTTCCTCAGACTGTGAAAGAAAATTGGAGTTGCTTTGATGGGGTAATTCACTAAGTCTCCAAATCTTAATTAGTTGTGAACTGCGATAATTTTTGTTCTATCCAACAATTTAATACTTAAGTGCACTTGTGAATCTAAAATTTGTAGGTTCATACCAAGAAGAGAAACAGGCTCACTTGTGAGAGAGTTGAGCAACTTGTCTATGTTCGCTTCAATAACCTTCATTCAAAGAAAAAGGCAAAGGCAAAAAAGAACAATAAAGTAGATCCTCTAGTAGCAGCAAATGCAACTTGTGCCCAAGGGTGGATGGTTGATGGTGGAGATGATGACAACTCTGATGTTGATGCTGTTACAGGGCTAACATGGCAGCAAATTGTAGATACATGTGGGACTGAGGAGGTAACAAAACTACGTAGGAGCGCAAGGTTGGCTCACCCGAGACAGATTGAAGAGGATGTCCAATCTGAACCTGAAGAGCTACCAAATGAGGAGGAAGAAATCGAGTTTGAGTCTGATCAAGAAGAAGTGGTCACAACTGGTTATGAGCAAGATCATGACACCGCAAATGATGATTGAGCTTGAGGCCTTAGGCCTTTTCATGAACCATTCTATCACTTAGTTAATTTATCTTTACCAGATATTCCTAAGAACTTTTAGATGTTGATGTATTATTGTGAGAACTACGTGTTTATGTGTGTGTGACTATGTGTCTATGATGCTATGCATGTGAGAACTGAGAACTGAGAACTATGTGTGAGTGTGATTGTGCCATTTAGTCATTCACTCATTTGTCATATCTGAGAACTGAGAACTGTGTTGTTAACCTGTCATGTTTGTGAGTGTGCTGTTAACCTGTCATTCACTGATTTGTATTCTTTATTATGTTGTAGGAGTAGGAATATATCGATTTATGATTACTTACATGTCAAAATAGTTATTTTTACAAATATAATACGAAAACGTGTAATCCGTGTAAAACCGTGTACACGCCGTGTACACAGTCTAAACGCTACATGAGGCCTTGCCGACCGTGTACCGTTTACCGTTTAGGAAAACATTGATCCAAACAAGCATGAAGTAAGTGCAAAGTGTATGTGTTGAAATCTTGAGCTATATGTGTTCATGTACTAATATCTCCTTATTTAGGTGTTTTCAATGGCCAAGTGTCATTTCAAGGAGTGGTTGTATGGTCCTAAGAACCAATGGCGGGAAGAACCGCGAAAGGTTAAGGAAAAGAAGAAAGAAAGGGTAATTTACAAAGCACCTCCTGTCATGTGCAAATGTGGTGTTAAATCCAACTATGGCCTAGTCCCTTCGGAGCTTGGAATAGGCCATTATTGCGGCCATATGGTTGAGTATGATGAGGTTGGTTATTTTTGTGGTAAACATGAAATCATATTTTGTTTCTTTTGCTAAGACATATATGATATAATTTTTCGTTTGAACAGAGCACTAGGAAATGTAGGTGGGAATGTTATGATGGTCAAGCTAAGTTCTTGGATGAACTAAAGAAGAGGCAAGTAATTGCATAGAAGAGGGGATATGGACCTGACTACGTCAACCTATTCGTTAAACATCACAAAGAAAAGATGTGTGAGTTTGCTAGACAACACGGTATTTGTAACCCGATCGATGTTGGGCTTAACAAATGGGGATTGGAGAGACGGATGACGTTAGAGGAGGAGAGGGCAAGGAATGAGGCAAGGGAGGAGACAAGAGTATAGATGCAGGTCTTGAACGAGCATGTTGTTGCATTATGTGCCAGTGAGTGCTTGAAAGCATTTTTTTCGTTGCCTGATTTTAAATGTAATATAATCGCATTGCTAACTGATTGCATTTTATACATGAAGGGATTGGTTGCAGCGAGGAACATGCCGCAGAGCTGGCTCATGCAAGGTATGAGGAGAAGAAGTTAGATGAGCATAGATCGCGAGTTGGTCGCACCGTTCAATCACCGATTGTGTTGTCTGATGAGGGGGACGAGGATGAGGACGACACTAGCAGACTCTAGACGGCCAACTAGAAGATGAGCCCACATCCATAGCTGTAACAGGTACACGCATCCACCAAGTGATGTGTTGGATGAAGACCGATGACACCCCTCGCACAGCTGCCAGTATAGAAAACACAATACTACAGAGCCCTAGCTGTAGTGACCCGCCTGGTCCCAATCACTGAGGTAGTGGACCCACATCCAGGACGCACTGTCACCCGTGGTGTCGGGGAAGAGAACGTAGGCAAACAAGTGTAGGATCCATGACCTACAGTAGGACCCAACTGTCTCCTCATCTGCCTCCTTGGGGCACTGTGCGAACTCTTCCCGTAGCCAGGAGATGAGAACTCTAGAAGTGCGAGCCCCTTGCTCGCCAAGCTCACGCCCAAGGAAGGCCTCCACTCGTGCTCTCCAGCCCTCTGACCTGCACTGCCCGGTGACTGGGTTGCCATGAATCCTTAGGCCTAGCATCTTCTGACAGTGCTAGAGCGTGACTGTCATCTCCCCGAAAGGTAGGTGGAAGCTATGAGTCTCCGGCCGCCACCTGTATTTAAGACAAAGCAAGATTATTTGTCAAAAAGTCAATCGCATGAACAAATGGCCATGAATGGAGGCAATGATTCAATTTAATACCTTCAACCAACGAAGTTATGGCCACTGAGTTGAACTTGGGCAACCCACGATGAACCTAAAAAGAGATGACATCTAAGCTAGCTCTTTGCAGGAAAGGAGTGTACCTATCGTCGTACCGCATGTCCAAGAACCCACTGCGGGTTCTAGGACGAAGGAGCGGAAGGTCCTGCATCGAATAAAACATAGTCTCCTATTACTTCATGAACACATGTACACTCACCAAATTTTGAACAAAACTTATAGATTATTACCTGCCCCAACGCTATGAGACGTCCTCGGTGGGTCGCCTCGTATGTTGGGTAGAGCAGGTGGAATTACGCCATCCTACAAAAAAAGTGAATGAATTAGAATTTCAATATACAATGAAACATGAACTTATAAATGTATAAGTAATTGACATAAATACAAGCATAAATTGAGACATGCATAATTAATTAAATGAATACGACAAATATAAAATAATAAAATCAACCAATAGTTGCACCTCACTAATCTGCCAATGGCAACTTCGTGAATTGTGGCCAAGTCTACCGCACTTGCCGCACTTGTACTGCTCGGGGTTAGTAACAAAAGGAGTTCCTCTCCCACGCCTCGTTCTTCTGGGTATCTGATCCATAACCATCCTGTGTCATGTCCTCTACCTTGATCCATGCTTGTTCCAATGGTAAGCTGGATCCGCAATGTACTTCGGCCCATCATATGGAGGCCACTCTCTAGGGTCTCGAAAAGGCACGAAGCGGGGGCGCCATGTGTGCACAAGCGTGTCGACACTGAACTCGTGATGTATCCTCCTCTCGATATTATAGTTGCGATGCCTAGCTGCTGCCACCAAATGAGAACATAGAAAGTGGTACTGCCTTGGTTTACCACAAGTGCATTTGAAATCTTGGAGGACAACCACATGGATCCTCGACTCTTGGACCTCACCGTCGGACATTGTACCGCCCCTATGCTTGACCTAATAAGTCCTTGTGGCGTGGTCAAAGCATGTAACCTCATGTGTGCCAGCCCTTTCTCTTGCCTTCTCTAGGTGTGCCTTTGGTTTCGGAGCCCATATCTCTCCATCACTCCGCAACTGCAATACATGGGCTTGTCTATCGTTGAACCAAGCAACAAGCTTATAGAAGGTGAATTGAATGATTGCATTCATGGGCATACCACGTATCCCCAATAGCAACTTATTGAATGACTCTGCCATGTTGCTGCACTAAAACTCGTACCTCCATCCACCAGCGTCATGAGCTCTCGTCCATTTCTCCAAATCCCTCATCAAACCTATCAATCATTATCTACCTTTTGCATTTGATGCGGTTCTGACCTGCTCCAACTTTTTCTGAAAGTACTTGTCCTCAAGCTGTCGAGCAGCCTCCTGGAATAGATCAAAGTAACCCTTCACACCATCCTTCTAGAGTAGATTCTCGGCAAGGTGCCGAGTACACCAACGATGGTGCAAAGGTGCATACCCCTCTATTTGCTCTCGCACGACATTAAGTATGCCCTGGTGCCTATCAGATATGATGCCAACCTCCCTGCTAGGCCCAACCACGTGCATCTGGACTAGCCTCAAGAACCATCCCCAACTGTCATTGTTCTCCTTCTCAACCAAAGCAAATGCCAAAGGAACCAACTTGTTGTTCGTGTCACAGGATATGGCTATAAGAAGTGTGCCCTGGTATTTTCCAATCAAGAACGTACCATCAATGGAGAAGACGGGACGACAGTGCCTAAAGGCCTCAACACACTGAGGGAAGCACCAGAAAGCACGAAAGAATATATGCCTCCCATCCTTCCATGCATTTGGTTTTGGGATGTACTCATAATGCATGCCTGGATTCACTACTTTGATTGCATTGAAAAGAACTGGCAGCTGCTCATACCCATCCTCCCAGTCCCCATATATCATCTTCCACGCTCGCTGCTTAGCCCTTCATACTTTACCATAAGTTATCACATAACCTCCATACAACGCCTCAACGGTCCTGATAATTATCCTCACCTTCATGTTGGGTTCTCCCTGCAAAATTCTCATCAACCACTTGGCAATGAGGGTAGATGTCAACTGCCGATGCCTCAGTGTTAGCTCATGGTCAGCACAATTGTGTGGCCTGACAACTTTTGTGATCTTCCATTTTCCGGTGACCTATTGCTTCCTTGCACAAACCCTCCATGGGCAGCGTTCCTTGTCACACACAACTGTGTAACGGCGCTTCGCATATGAATGCAATACCTTGTAAGGTCTCTTTCATATCACTGCAAAAGCCTGCAACCACCTCTTCAATGCAGGGAGGTCATTGAACACCCTCCCATTCTCAATTACCATGTTAGGACCGGCCTCAGGAGCTTCTAGGAGCTCATCATCACGTCCTTCTGCAAACGCCTGATCGGAATGAGCAAGATCGCTGAACTCGTGAACTCTAGGATCACGGCGGCCGAGAAAGATACGCCTCAGCATCTCAACATCACTCTCTGTCAGCTCTCCAACAGGGCGATCATCATCAGAATCAAGTGCCCTATCCATCTCATATGGCTCTGAATCATGCATAATTTCAACAATATTGGAGCCACAGAATCCATCTCCAAAGTACACTTACGCAGCAACAGGGGGCACATCCACATTCTCAGGAATGTCTCCTGCAACATAAGTAGAGAAATAAGGAAAGAATGAAAGAAATAGATGTAAGGAACGGGGTAAGCTCCCAAAAACCATGCGGTTAAGACACTTACTCAGATGATTCTGTGTCAAAGAAATCTCATGAGGAGGATCTGCCACGGAAACATGAGTCTGACAACCATCTCCAACTACCACATTGGGGGCAGATTGAGCATCGGGAACCATAGGTGCAATCTCTACATGCATATAAGGTTCCGAAACGGGATGGTCGATGTGTGCTTGCTGATCCATTGCTGGGAAAACCCATGAGGGATGGGATCAACTAACACCAGACGCACA